TGGCTGGATATTTGAGGTATTTGGAGGGAACGGCTCGTGATGATTGGCAAGAGTATGTAGTGATAACCCTTTTTCCATGATTCTGTTTTATTGGTAAATTTATTGAACAACCTGGATTCCGAAGCTAATGTTTTATAGGTTTTTTTAAGGAAAAAGTATTTTTAATTATGAAAAAGCTTCATTTTATTTGTATTACCCTTCTTTGTTTTCTGTTTCTTGTTTGTAAATTGTTACTCCTATTTTTTTATTACATTGATGCATTCTATTTCTTTGCATCATTAGAAGGGCATAAATTTCTTCTCAAATAAAATGTGTAGTGCATACCTGTGTTTACCTCAAACGTTTCTATGTTTGTATTCTACTCATCTACTGTTTGGTCTTCTTCTCCAAATAGTTAATTCATATAACAGTGTGTTCTTTTTCTCATTATATTTTATAACACATTCAACATATGTTTCATTTGCCAAGTTTTTAAAAACTCCCTGTTGAAGTCATTAAATTAAATGAAAAAGTACACATCATGAAATTTTGCTTCACCTTAAATTTGTGCAGGGTACATGACAAACTGCGTGCTTCAGAAAATCGAAATGGAGCATCATTTAACGCACTCTTTGGTTCTGCCCTATCTCTGGGCATTATATCCAGAAGAAGAGTACACTATGAAGCTATCAAATATGAGAAAGAACGAAATGCCGGATTCTTATCTCCTTTTGGATATTCAGCCGCTACTATTGCTGCAGCAGTTGAGGCCGTGTGTTCAAAGGAGGTACTAACTATAACAGTTATGCCGTATTAAGAGTACAAATTGTTATGTGTCTTATTGATTTGGTGGCTTATCTGTTATACATGGGTAGTTTCCTTGACCTTTTCTCTTTTCTTTCACTATTTTCTTTTTAATCAAATGAATTATTTATTTTGTTGGTGTACTAGTGGTATTGGATTTTAGCTTTGAGAAATCACATAAACAATGATGGAAAACAGTCAACACGGATATGGAGATGGAAAGGTTTTCTTATTCAGGTATTAAATTAATTGGATCATAGTCAAATTCAATTTCCTATTGAGAGAAATGCTAGGAACATACCCTCCAACACGTGAAATACTTTTCACAACCTAAGCTATTCTGCTACTTAATGGCTAAACTGCTTTTCTCAGTATACAGTTGCTGGTGAAGATGGTCCTGCTGTTCTTCTTGTGCATGGTTTTGGTGCCTTTGGAGAGCATTACCGTGACAACATACATGGTTTAGCTAGATCCGGAAATCGAGTTTGGGCTATTACATTGTTAGGATTTGGCAAATCTGAAAAGCCAAATATTGTATATACTGAACTCTTGTGGGCTGATCTATTGAGAGATTTTATTGTTGATGTTGTGGGGGAACCGGTCCACCTTGTTGGCAACTCCATTGGTGGTATGATTTACCACAAATATGCACAGTTACTCATTTCCATGGCTCCATGCACATAATTCTTATCACTAGTTTGTTCTTGCTTCTGTTGATGATTTGATCATTCGCTACACGTTTGCCAACTCCAGGTTATATTGTTGCTATTGTTGCTCGAGTTTGGAGTGTCTTGATCAAATCCATCGTCTTGATCAACAGTGCCGGCAATGTTATCCCAAGAAATACATCCATATCATTGTCTAGGCAAAGTGTAAGCAAGGGCAACTGAAGTTCATTTTACTCATGCAAGACTTGAATATTTTTTTCTTCTCTTGCCGGCTTTGTCTGAAAATCTAACCAATTTTCTTTTTCTTTCCGTTTTTAAATTTTTCCTCTAGTTTCTAATATTGTAAAATCTGCAATAGAAGTTGAACTTTTAGATTTTCAAATCTCAAGGTTTACCTGAAGTCTACCATGACAACATAATTTTCTTGAATTCAGAGAAGGGTCCAAAAGTGCATAATCTGTTGGTAAATATGAATCTTAAGCCGGGACTATGTAAATTTCTTCAAATATTTAATTTGACAGTGTTTATTGATTGTTATGAGTACAACATGCATAGATTATTCTTTCTAAAATTCGCTTTTCCATTTACCTGTTATCATTCAGGATAGACAAACGTCAGTGGCTACATGGTTAGGTTCTCGCCTTATTCTGTTTTACTTGAGGCTAAGAATTCAAGAACTTGTTAAGAAATGTTATCCAACTGTAAGTATAATTTTTGTCGCTAATTTTTTAATCTCATATACGTATTTGTTTAGCATTGACATTGATGGTGCTTTGATCTGTGGCATTTTGCTTTGCACTTTTGCAGAAGATCGAAAGAGCAGATGATTGGCTCATAAATGAAATGCTAAGAGCAGTATCCTCTAGTTTACTTCTATAATCTAAACTATTTGTATTGCATAAGGATTCATATTCATATTCTTATTCTACAACCTTCTCCTTAACATATTAAAAGTCCTATGATCCTGGTGTGCCTGTGGTCCTAGAAAGCATCTTTAGCTTTAATCTGTCCATACCTCTTAACTATCTTTTTGAAGATGTCAAGGAAAAGGTTATAATTATACAGGTATTGCAACATGGATATGAAATATTGTCGGAAAACCAAAAAATCGAATAATGTGAATCATAACTCTCTAGTTTAGCTTTATATGTATTTTTTATTTCATTTTGTCAGGGAATGAAAGATCCAATTTCTGACTCTAATGCAACGGTGGCTATGCTTAAAGAGCACTGTGATAGTGTTATAATCAAGAAGATAGATGCCGGTATGAAAATTTTATATATCTGTTTTACTTTTTATTTAATCATAGGATGCACTAGGCTTTGTTTTAAATTGGTCTTTTTCTTTTCCTAAACATAACAGGCCATTGTCCACATGACGAGGTACCGGAATTAGTTAATTCTATTATTTATGATTGGATACATAAGGTGGAAAGTAACATTTTAGCAGGGTTCTCAGTGTAAATGTTTTTGACATCCAACAACTATGCATAATGATTATATCAGCAGGGTAAATGATAAGGAGTCCATTAAAACACTATTTTCTTACCAAGTCTAAGTCTTGTGTATGTTTGATTTATCTTTTTCAAAGAGTAAAAAGCAATTCTAAAGGTGTAGAATTGGATTTGAAATGATTTTGAAGTGTTTGGCTCATCAAATTAAAATTGATTCTACTTAAATTAAAATTTGTAGCTTTTGAGTTTAAAGGTGATTTTTATATAAAGTTATTCAAATATAAATCACTTTACATTCAATTTACTTTTAACTATAATGAATTTTACAAAATCAATTCAATAAAAATTATTATTTTTTCACCTCAAAATCAAACATACGATTACTATTAATAAGACATGGTACCTAGAGTTGTGCATATTCTATTAATTAACGCCTAAAAACTTCTCTTTATGCTCTTCATTGTCTGCCATAGGGCCCGTTTGTTTTACCTTTTATAAATAGATTTTTCATTGTATTTTTATAAATCAATTTTACAAAACCGTTTTCAAAATATTATAAATTTGTTTATATTTGTTTTTTCTAAATTAAAAGACTAATTTTAACATTTTATTGCATAAACGTATATTATTGAAAATTAAAATCTAAGTGAAATTGTAATCTTTTTAAAAATTATATCTCAAATAATTTTTATAAAAAATTATTTGAAATAACTTCAAAATTAAGTTTTTTTTTTAATTGTGATATTCAATGTTTCAATAAAATGATAAAATATTTAAAATAACATTTTAAATCAAAATTTAATTTGAAATTTTTATGAAAAATTTTTTTAATTTTTTTTTACATAAAAATATATAATACTGTAAAATTCATTTTCTTTTTAAAAAGGTCAAAACAAATTGACTCTTATTCTCATCTAAACTTCTCTTTTACCGAGAGACATTATAATTCACTAACACATTAACGATTTTCCTCAATTAATGAAAGCTTAACGAAAGCTCAATGCAAATTCTCTTTCTAAATTATACTCTTTAATTCTCTCTCTCACTATCTCCTTCTCTACATTCAATTACTCTATTTTTATCAACTTTGAGGTTATAAATTCTAACATTTGACATCAAGAGTCTAGTTCGATCCACAAAATACCTATAGTGCTACATAAATTATGTCTTCAATGAAAGAATTCTTACAAATCTACTCATTCTTGATGCAAGTAATTATGATAAATGGTGCAAGCAAATGAAGGTGTTGTTTGACTACCAAGATATTCTTGAAGTGTTCAAGAACGGGGTGAGTCCTCTTGTCGAAGGTGCAACAGATGCACAATGAGCAGTGCATAAGGAAGAAAAGAAGAAAGATTTTAAGGCGTTGTTTTTAATTCATCAACGTGTTAATACAGTTAGTTTCGAGAAAATTGGTGATTGTGAATCATTGAAGCAAACGTGAAAAATATTAGGTGAAAATATGGACACAAAGAGGTCTAGAAGTGGAGGTTGAATATACTTTTTTTTTCCTTTAAGACAACCTTAAAAAAATATTTTAGGTCCCTTGTACGAAATCAGAGATTTTAAGAAGCACGAAAGCAAAACACAAAAGAAGCGAGCTTGAAAGCATCTCAATAAATTAAACCATATGAAATAATACACGATGTTCACTATGCACTAGATAGCTTCTAATGCAAGTCAATCACAAGATTATTCAAGTAGCTTTAAACAAAGCTATTTCAAAATTCTTAGCATATATGTTTTATCAAGTCATAATTGAATTCATGATATTCAATAAGATTGATATACCATAAATTTAAGCTTATACATTAAAGGGTTAAATATACTTTACCCCCTTGCAATAGTAGCGAGCTTTGATTTACCCCTCTATTATTTTTTTTCTTCTTTTTTCCCCTTAACAAATATAGATTCGCAAACAAAAAACCCTGTACCCCAAGATTTCCTATGAGTTTCATACGTGGCATTAGATTCTTTGCTGTCTGTGTTATTAAAAGCCATGCTGGAATGTTTGTATCTATTACAAATATTTAGTCTTCTGATTAACCCCCTGAAAAATCTAGGGTTCAATATCAAACAAAATTAGCAAGCTCACCATGGGGAAGAAATTAGCAGCGAAGAAGAAGAAGCACTCCAAGAAGGAGAAACATTCAAGCCAACCGAAGAATCACGAGGAAGGAGGCGCTTCTGTTGATGTTGATAAGGTATGTTCTTTCAGTTGTTTGTTCGTTTAGTGCTACATACAGTGAAATCTTAGTTTTTGAATGTCTGCCCAAATATTTTCAGAATAAGCATCTGTTCATTGTTGTGTTTCATCATGGTGGTGGGTTTGTAATGTTGAACAATGGTGTTACGATTTACAGAGGGAAATGGTTCTAAACGTGCAAGAAGGAAGTGGTTCTAAACGTGCAATGAAGAAATCTAAGAAGAAGTAGTCTTATGTTTGTACTGTCTATTATGCCCTTTTGATACTTTGGCATTAAGTTATGATTTGTTAGGCTATTATGCCCTTTTATAATGACATTGACATTTTGTGTCTTTATGGTTTATTAGGCTGTTATGCCCTTTTGTAATGAATGACATTGGCATTTTGTTCTACTTATGCCTTCATGTAATGAATCCTTTGTGAGCAACCCCTCACATAAATAGTTTTGAATGATAGCAAATATGTGTGAAATAATCAATGAATGTTAAAAATGCTTTTATCTATATGTGTGCATTGTAAAAATATAGTATAATATGTTTAAAAAAAGTTAAGAATGTGTTTTACACATAAAACACTTTTATGAGTCGACACAAAGAGCTTTGCATCGACACATACTTAAGCAAAGAATCATAAAAACGATTATGCTTCAGTATGAGTCGACACATCCATATTATGCATCGACTCATAACATGTTGATGCCCCTGGAAAATAATTTTCAACCTTTATGTATCGATACATAACTTCATGCATCGTCACATGATATGTTGATGTATCTGGAAAATATTTTTCAACTTGTATGCATCAATACATAACTCCATGCATCGACACATAACAACCATTTTTCAAATTTGACATTAAACAACCATTATATTGCTTCTGTTTAACAACACTGCAAAGATACACTTGAAATTAACAGACAGACAAACATAAGTTTAAGCCATTATATTACAAACAGACATAACACTTCACTTGTGTAAAAAAATTACAAATAGACAATACACTTGATATTATATATAATTGTACAACACTGCAAAGATAAACCAAGACATCATAATTGCCACATTCAGTTGGAAAATTTTCCTCTTCAATGCAACTATCTTCAACTTGGATTTTTCTAGTTTCCGTTTTGTTAGTTCAAACTCCAATTTTACCATATCACAGTCTTTGCAATAACTTTGAGAATTTGATATTTCACTAATGGAGTGAGCAATTTCATCATTCCAAATAAACAGATTACAACTATTTCCCATCTGCAACCAAAAAAGAAATTAAACCCATATTACAAATTTCCCCAGTATAATCAGATCAAAGCTTTTGAGAAAAACGTACTTACCCCAGCATTCCTACATTTCCAGAATTTCCTATTACAATTTTTTACGGTGTTAGCAAACCACATCTTCATCAGCCGATAACATCCGCATCGAGAAACCTTTGAATACTCGTACGAATTGCAACTTCCAACACTCTTGCTAGCATCCTCCATTTGAATGTAGGGACGATTTGCAGTGGAAATGGTTCAACACGGTATTGAGGGAAGAAATTAGCAAGACGGTATGGACAGACGGTAGGGACGAACACGGTATTGAGGGAAGAAATTAGCAAGACAGTATGGACAGGCGGTAGCTGCTGAACGTGTCTGATGAAACATGAAGAAGACGAAGACAGAAAGGTTGGGAAATAAATTGAATAGAACCATAGATTTTACAGGGGTAAATCACAACGTTGTGAACTATGTTTAATATGCACAAACATTCCAGCATGGCTTTTAATAACACAGTCAACAAAGAATCTAATGCCACGTATGAAATTCATAGGGAATCTTGGGATACAAGGTTTTCTGTTTGAGAATATATATTTGTTAAGGGGAGGATTTTTTTTAATAGGGGGGTAAATCAAAACTCGCTACTATTGCAAGGGGGTAAAGTATATTTAACCCTACATTAAATATCTATAAGCAAAGTCTAACTTATATGGTATAGAATCAATGTAAAGATGCAATAGTACAATGATGAATACTAGAAACTTAAAAGAGGTAAGGGAAGAAGAAAAGACACACACACACACACACACACACACACACACACACACACACACACATACACACACATATATATATATATATATATATATATATATATATATATATATATATATATATATATATATATATATATATATATATATATATATATATATATATATATATATATATATATATATATATATATATATATATATATATATATATATATATATATATATATATATATATATATATAATGGTTTAGTTGTTGTCATTAAATTACCTACCCCACTCTTCAATGGTGTTGAAAACTATTGAAAAATAATCACAATCTTCCACTACTTTAATAAGTTTGATTACAAGCTTTTGGTTATAATGAACTATCAAACGACAATTCTCTCTGTTAATGTAGATACTCAACTGCTAACAAAAACAAGATCTCTAAAAGATCTTGATCAAATAACCTCGCTATCCATAATAATTCTGCTCCAAGTATTTGTATGTGGCAACACATCTGATTCAACTGATCTTTTGTCTGAGCGATTTCCATAGCCAAGTGTTAATTGGACAACTCCCAATTTTGTATGCAAGCAATCTTTCTCCAACGCCACCAAAGATGGACAACTTTCATCCCCACCTTACGAAAAATTGATACTAGATATCGCCAAAGTTTTCCTTGTAGTATAATGGAAACTCTATTCTTGATGAATAACAACAAACACCAAACAACATTCAAGAAAAGATACTTTCACCTGTTACAAACAACAAACTTCACACAAATACATTAGATATCCTAATGTATCACTAGTCTCCCTCAACATTCAGTCTATAGAGATGAAGGTCCTCAACAATGGAGCAAAACTAAGTATGAAGATGATGAACAATGTCAAAATATCTCATAAACAATCTACAAACACAAGGTGTTAGTCAAGACTTTTAGATGAAAGGGAATGAAGAACACACCCACAAGGTTCTCTCAAGTTTCTAGTTGAATGGGTCTTGGGTTTGATTGTTATCAAGAGATTGATTAATAATGAACAACACATAAAGATCAATCAACTCCCCCTCTATAATTCACGCAAACACAATAGAAAATTGCACAAGAATAAGATGCAGCAAAAAGGATAATGAATTTGACATGAATTCATAATTGGGAATTTGTTCTAGTGAAGAAGAGAAAGAATCATGGTGATGGATCACACACTAAGAATATAAGACAAAATCATTCTTTGCCTCTATGGGTTTTCCATAGGTTTCACTCACTTGTTACTTTCATCAAAGAAAAATCTATTTAAATCAAAGATAAAAAATAAGTCTTGAAGCTTTAATTCAAATCAAGTGAAAACTGTGATTCAAATCAATTTGGGAAGAGCCAAAATAAATCTTCAAGATTTTCGTTGATTCAAATCAACTTTTTCACTTGAATCGAATCACAAGAGGTTGTGATTCGAATCATGTTCAATTTGTGATTTGAATCAAATACTCCAAAGCCAAATCCAATTTTCCACACAGCTTCTGATTCGAATCATGAATTACACTTGATTTGAATCAAATGATTGAAAAACCAGATTTAAGTGCTTTAACTTGTGATTTAAGCTACGCCCGATGAAATTACAAGGTAGAAACTATCTAGGCTCAAAAGAAAAACTATCAAGGATCAAACACTCTTATTAATTTATTAAAGAGGGTTCTTATTGGTACAACAACATAATAGACGAAGCGATTACAAATGAAGTATGAAACAAATAATGTACAAGCACGTGTTGATCGATGACTTAATGAGTCTATTGGGGTACTAACTGCAAGTATACAGTTTAGTCGTTCTAGTTTTAAATGATTATCGAACCCACAGAGACTGAGGATCAATCACATACGATCTAATGTTACAATTGTTTAACTAAGCGATGAATATTTGGTTTTAGGGGGGAAAATAGTTTAATTAAAAACAATAGTAATAGCTATACCGGTATGTGATAGTCGGACTTCGGGAATTCGGTGAATCGCTTGGCATATAAAGTATTTCGGTAAAAACGAATTGTTTAAAAACCTGAGACATACACTATCGTGTTCATGAAATAAGTCATGCTACTAAACCTAGTGGATGCACTTTAAATTTAATAACACTTTTTGAAAATAATTTGAGTTTAATTAATTTGTTAAAACACTCTCATGTATTTAAAAATTAATGTTTCGTTACCACTATCTGGGTCGAACCCCAGCTCTCGCATGCAGGTTCTTGCCTTAATTAATTTCCCACTCTCGTGGCAAAATCGTGTTAATTATCCTCTCACTCTCGTGACAAGGGTAGTTAAATTAAACATGGAAATTGGAAACCAGAAATTATTTATAAATGTTTTTAGCCAAGTTATCATCGAACTCTTTCGGTGCTTAGGAGTCACATACTGGTACAGATGAATTTAGCCAGACATAATATATTTAGTAACTATGCAACTTAAAGTATAATTCATAAAAATAAATGACATAGCACAAGAATAAATAAAAATCAATTGCATAAAAACCTGTAAATAATGTTGCTGTGGTAATCTTGAGTGCGTACAAATTCCTTGCAATAAATTGAAATATATGCCCGTGTTAATTCTTAGATGAAGAACTAACACTTTGGAAACTAATTCTGGAAACTAAAAGTTACAGTAGGTATAAAATGGTTCAAAATCAATTAAAATAGAATAATGCAGAAAAGCAGAAGTTTGGCTCTGTAGAAAATTCTTCGACCCTGATCCATTGAACTGCCTCATATTTATAGAAGAAGATTTTACAGTTGAGAGAATTTTGGAACAACTTGAGTGGAGGAAGACTCGGATTGATAGTTACTGAAGTTGAGGAAATGCAGGAGAAGAAAACTGTCCACTACGTTGCCCACGTCTCCTGTAATGCATAACGTTGTTTTTAAGCGTGTGACGGTCGTCATGAGGGGGAGACGGTCGTAATGCGCTTAAATAGCGCGTTACGCTCGTCAATGATGCGTGACGAGCGTCCTTCAAGTTGTGAGAGCGTTACGCTCGTCATGGGGTGTGACGGTCGTCACAGCTATAAAATCTGCAGACTTCGCAGATTTGGTTCTTTCTCTTCTGATTCTTGGTTAACTTCCTTCATGTGATCCTTTTTCACTGATTTGAGTTGACACATGTT